GAGGTCGAGGCGAGATCGTCCACGTCGCAATCCAAGTGCCTGTGTCAGACTTCCGGTTGTCTCTGCTGCGTTGACCTAAACTTGACGGCCACTATTGATCTAGGTGGACCAGCTTGCGTCAATATTAGGCAGAAAGAACAGAATATCTCATTAAATTTGAGCTATGGCGATAATCCAATTCACAATGCAACGATAAAAATCGGCAAGTAATCAAATCGTAATAATAATAATAAAAGAATCTTATTTGTATTGAATTTTAAATTAAACCTAATATTGTCTAATAATTTAAATTTAACACGTTGAATTATAATTCAAGATTAAAATTCAATTGAAAATATTAATATAACTTTACCGTTATTCAATAGTTTTTCGTAATCTGTTTTATTTTAATTTATATTTCTTATTCTTCTCACATTAGGCTTCTAACCTGTGTTTTATATTTCGATTTATAATATAGATATTTTAATATTTGTCTATTAATATCTACATTTTTTGTATCAGATAAATGACACATTAATCGAATTAATCATTAATATTTTTATTTTTGTAGCGAACGCAGCCAATAAACCGACATGCATGAATTTGTTGTCGGATTTGGCTCAGATTTGCGCGCGATTTACATCAGTGAAGCAATCTGATGTCGGTGGCTACGATGGTTGTATGGTAATCGAACCGGCTTTGTTGGGTGCACCGCAAGCCACATACCATATAGGATGCTTCAATTTCTATCAGGGTGTCCGACAAGTGGAAGTTTCCGCGTAAGTATCTCTGTGATCTAGTTGAAAGTATTTGAAATGCAAAAAATATATTATATATGAAAGAATGTCTTGTTACTTCCTTTCGATCCTACACAGCATCACGGAAACGATAGAACCCATTGATAACGCAGACGAAGAAGAGGACACTCTTAACACTGATGAGTTGATTGCTGCAGTGTCCGCTAGCGCCGAGCAAGGTATCGCGTTGTTCACTCAATGGCTAGGTCTTAATCTGAATCCAAAATTGAATCTCACAAGCAAGGACAATGGACAACAAGACCGAATAACGAATAATGAACGGACAGGACCCTCAATTGATGTGTCTTCAAGATCGGCTCGCAATATGGACGATGCTGCCCAGAACGAAAAAAATGATGAGCGGTTCAAGCAACTGTTGAGCGCTCAGGACAATGTCCTGAAAGGCTCAGCAACTATCGGACAATCTCACGGCGCGGAGACCACATTTGTTTATTCTAGACCAAGCGATTTAATAGCTGACAGAAACGCGACGGAAGAGGCCAAGAAGAAACTCGAAGCGGAAGCTGTGATACCGCAACACCGAATCGTAGTACCAAAAGAATCCAGGAGGGGCGGACGGGCATATAACATTCATCAACACATCAATGAAATCTGAGTTGTACTGTGTGATCGGTACCTCGTGCAGGAAATTGTCAACTCATTCTTTTAGAGCTAGAGTGCTGCACCTAGACTATTCTCGTATGTATGCACGCGGAGCTGGGTGATGGAGAGGAGGTTATTACTTCATTTAATCATCTCGCCCGTCGCGGTAATTTAATCTTTACGATCAGTACAAATCGTGATCCTCGATAATATCATTGAGGCTAATGTTAATAAATCATGTATCGCAATTTGCGATATAATGAAGCAAAATGGGATTGCAATTTCGCACATAGTTCAATCTTCGATAGCTTAAATTCTCCGCCTCCCGAAAAATTCATCCCTATATTTTCAAATACTATAGTGCATATAAAAGCTACATAACAATAGCAAATCGTATGTACTATAATAATACATGGAAATACAGAGATAAAAAAAGTTTCTTCTTTTTAACAATCTGAATAATTTTATTATTTATTATTTTAAAGTTTCTTATAAAATAGAATCTAAAAAGATAATTTTTATAAGCTTTACTTATATATTATTTTGTTAAATTAAAAAATTTTGATAAATCTTTCTACAAATCTTTCTTGCTTCAATATTGCATAGTTTTCCCTATTGTTGCGATCTTATCCTATTCATTATACGTGCATCTCAATTATTTTATTCTCGCTCAGCTCTTCAAATATGATCTCCCGCGATTGTGATCAATGTTTGTCGATTTCATTCCAAAATCATCGCTTTTCTTGCGATGATGTACTAATCTACAATAATTACTCACAAGATCTTGACTAAATGTATAATTGATCTTACATTTTACTAGGAAATTAGTTGATCAATTGTTAATTAACTGACAATAATTTATTTATTTAAAAAAAAATAAAAATAAATATTTGACGATGACTTCGAATTCCCAGAGCTCAAGCGTTGTCTATCAATAATAACTTAGACGTTTCTTATCATACATATTACATGTTTCTTCCTCTTCAAGCTTGTCGTAATTTAAAAAAAATATAACGACAGTTTCACGCCACACATCCGTGTACATACTATAAATTAGTATTAAAAAATACGAAATGGTAAACGGAATGGGCAATACAACTGTCACAAGGATATTTAATTAATTCTGCGTGTGACACAGAAATAATAAATGAATAATAAAATATTCACACATTATATATGTTAGTTCCGTTATTCATTATTTCGTTGGTTATGTTCCTTCTTCCTCTCCTTATACATAATATACGTATAATGCATATATCAATGGCTATCGTGCTAATTTGCTCGATCCAGCTTTAACTGTAAAATACCTCGATACTGATCGTCGATAATAATGAGTGCTTTCTAACAAGAACATAGTATAACAGTGAATCGTTACATCCTTGTTGTTTGCCTACGTTAAAAAAGGACAAAACGATTCACTGTGTTACATAGTGTCTGTATCCTTGCTAGAAAATACCCACTATTAAAGATCGTCAACCCTAGGCAAATTTTCGGCGGTATAAAAAGAGCCCCAAGGGAGATAATTGAAGAACGCTGACATTATCGATTAATTAATATATAAAAGATATAAATTTGCTATTATTAACATAAATATTTGGCTATATGTATATCATTAAATTTTATAATTTTTTATTACATTAATGTTCCATAAATAAATATATATATTTGTAAAGCTATAATGTTTGTAAAGCTATAATATCCTATATATTGCAGAAAAATTACAATTTTTTCTCTGGAGTTATCATCTCTGTTGATAATAAATTTTGACGATAATATGAAATCATAATTTTAAAAATCGATTATTGAATTCTAAATACGTCTACTAAACTAATAAATCATAAAATTACAATATTATTAAAAGTACAATATTATTAGTTTTTAACTCTAAAAGTATTCACACAACTTGCACAGTCGCATAAACGTATGCATAAAGAAAATTATCCAATCGCATTTCTTTTATAAAGACGCACATAAAATGTGATATACATACGTTTATGCGATTATGCAAGTTGTGTGGATATATTCTTAAGCACAGATTCTTGCATAATGCATAACACATGAGGCATAAGAAATCCAACCAATCAGAGTTCTTTATTTCAAGGAAAGGAAAGAAACAAAGGACTTTGATTGGTACATTTTCTTATGCATTACGTGTTATGCAAAAGTCTATGCTCCCCGCTTTAATCACTTTAATATTCACAAGGACGCGAACTCCCATAAAGATGTCGGTCTTTAATATCTCGTCGGTGGTTGGATTAATGTATGCTCCTATTGGTGTATATATTTATAATTATTTATAAATAATAATTTTCGAAATAATATTCCGAAAACTACAGAAAAAAATCTGTTGCAATTTTTTGGCGTATATAGCTGGTCACAGAAAAAGTCCAATACTTTTTTTTCGATAGGTTTTGAAATGAAGCTTATCAAGCGATTGGTTTTTATGGCTCCTACACACAGAACGCGACTTGCTGCGCGGCAGAAGTTGTTGTATTAATCAATAATTCTATTCTACCAATAGTTCTTAAGTCGGTCTCATCAAAACTTCTATTCTAGAAATAATATAATACTACTTCCGCCGCGCGACAAAAGTTGGATTGAGTTCAATTTTTGCGATAGTATATCTATTACTTCCGAACAAGCGAGACATTGATTGGCTATTATGCCAATTTCCGTCGCGCGTCAAGCGTTGCTGCGTTCTGTATCCAGGAGTAATTAGATTCATCACACACATAATTACATAAGCTACATAACCATAGCATAAGCCATTGAACTAATAAGCATCCAACATAAAGGTTGATTTACATAAGATGCTTGGTCTAGGGACCTTATGCTATGGTTATTAGTTATGCAGCTTATGTAATTTTGTTTATGATGGTTTTTATTTGTGGATTTATGAATAAAGTGGGGAGTAGACTTTTGCATAACGCATAACACGTAATGCATAAGAAAATGTCAATCGAAATCTTTCATTTTCTTCCTTTCTATGAAATAAAGAACTTTGATTGGTTCAATTTTTTATGCCTCATGTGTTATATAAGAGTCTGGGGAAAATGAGATTGAAATGAGATGAAAATTATCAAAATTGAGCGAATTATTAGAATAGTGATAGAATACTGATTATTTCATTGGTCAATATCTTGTAAATTTACTCGTTTTTGTAATTTTCACTTTGTTTGAAAATACAGAATCGACCTCCTGTGCTCCTCGTCTAAGAATGAATCGCTCGGTAAGTAAGCTGCATTCCGAAATTTATCAAAAAAAAAAAAAGTATTGCAACCTTTCTGTAATCGGCTGTACAGCTTTTTTTTCGAGAGATTTCGGAATGTAGCTTGCTCACTGAGCGATTGGTTTTTATTTAGATCCATGAATAAGAATCAATCACTCGGAAAGCAAGCTGCGTTCCAAAACCCATCGAAGAAAAATTGTTGCAATCTTTCTGTGACCGGCTGTACATAAAATTTCTTACTTTCACGTTTCGTTTTAAGGAAAAAGTTACATGATCGATCCCCAGAGCGCAGCTGCACACAATAAATTCTTCATGTTGTTACCCAGTGTTACCAATATGGCGTCTCATTTGATTTAAATTTGTTCGTTAAGTGATCGACGACAAGGCGAAACACGAGAACTGCATCTCTGGTCGAATTGTGAAAAGGAATTTCGAAGACCATATTATTGAAACAGCGTCCACGTTACGTACAATGGATAATTTCATAAAAATAGAAAAAATCGGAGAAGGTGAGTGCACGGAAAATACGAGAAGATTGTTGATGTCTAGCTATTATTGCATCGCATGCATTGCACGTGTTAATGAATATTTATTCGTTTATAATATTTGAACATTCTTCTTGGCTGCTAATATATTCATTATATATAATGAATAAGATTTCTGTTTTTTTCTTTCATATAACATGTTTAGAGAATCAAAAATTATATATATTATATTCAAGTATTTGGCTAAACAGAAAATTATACATTTGTTAAATGGGTAGTGCAATATTATTTAATTGTTAAGTAAAACCTGATATAAAGTTGCATTCAATTTTAACCATATATAAATTATGTAAAACGTTTTGGTCAGTAACGTAAATATTGGAATATGGAATGAGATATATAGTAAATTATTACAAATTTGGATATTCCTCAGGTACTTATGGAGTAGTATACAAAGGAAAACATAAAAGAACTGGAGAAATTGTAGCCATGAAAAAGATTCGCTTAGAAAATGATGACGAGGGAATACCATCAACCGCTATTAGAGAAATTTCATTGCTTAAAGAATTAACTCATCCGAACATAGTGAGCTTGATCGATGTATTAATGGAAGAGTCAAAACTATATCTTATTTTTGAATATCTCACTATGGATCTAAAAAAATACATGGATAGTTTGGATAATAAACTGATGGACTCAACTGTAGTTAAATCGTATTTGTATCAGGTTTGTTTGTATGAAAAAAATATTTAGTCTCATGCTAATGTTATAAAGATTCTCCCACAGAAGAAAAGATAAACAAGTTTAATCTTTGTAGCTTAATTACTGTATTCATACTTGAATTAGATGTATATTTAAAGAGATTAGCAAAAACGAGATAGAAAATTTTAGTGCATTCCAGTATAGTGATAAAGAACAAGTCTAATATTCTGAAAGGTAATATAAGTTGTTTAAGAAAGTTTTAGTGCATTCCAATACAATGATAAAGAACTGATTAAATATTCTGGCAGACTGAATCATTTTAAAGCTAGATAGATAAAAAATATTTATCGCTCTATCAGACTACACTAAAACTTTCTATAAGATAAGATAAAAAGAATATTTTATCACTACATTAGACTATACTAAAACTTATGCTTTTGCAAAATTTAGTTATATTCTTCTCATTTTAAGTACAATGAATGTATATTATTAAGCTATAAAGAATAGATTTTATTAAATGCTTAAATTGCCATGGAAATTTTTATCGAGATTGTTTATGCACTAATACAATTGCTCTCTGTCTCAGATCACACGTGCAATTTTGTTCTGTCACAAGCGTAGAATATTGCATCGTGATTTAAAACCACAGAATTTGCTAATTGATAAGACTGGAATTATTAAAGTAGCAGATTTTGGACTTGGAAGAGCATTCGGAATCCCAGTGAGAATATATACACACGAAGTTGTAACTCTGTGGTACAGGGCGCCTGAGATTCTCCTCGGTGCTACTAGATATTCGTGTGCGATTGATATGTGGAGTATTGGATGTATTTTTGCTGAAATGGCAACTAATAAACCATTGTTTCAGGGAGACAGCGAAATTGATCAACTTTTCAGGATATTCCGGTAAAATTTTTATATGTTATAAAAATATTTTTTCTCAACGATTTAATGATTATTGTGTCTTACAGAATACTAAGAACGCCTACGGAAGAAATATGGCCAGGTGTAACGCAACTGCCAGATTACAAAACGACATTCCCAAATTGGATGACGAATAACTTGGACTTGCAAGTAAAGACGTTGGAGCCTGATGGTTTGAATCTATTGGAAGCTATGCTCACGTACGATCCTGTATATAGAATATCCGCACGAGCAGCATTGCAACATCCCTATTTTAATGATTTAGATACATGCAAAATACCCGCCGTATAAAACATAGAAACTACTCAAGCAAAAGAAGTAAAACTTTACATTTTTAATCATGTGATTACGTGAAGAGTATGTCTCTAGGTGTACTGAAAGTTAATTTATTGAGTAAATGTTCTTCATTTTGTTTAATCATATCGATTAAAGTTTACATTTATATTTTTTAGTAGAACTCACTTTGTGTGCGACCAGTATGGTTTTTATTAAATTACATACATTTCATACTTATATAAGTTATTGGAATATATTAGTATTTTACGTATTATATTGCATTTAAGTAAGTTTTATACAGTATTTCATTTACAATTACTTTAATTAATGCCAATTTCATTCTTGTGTTTAACATATCGATCTTGGCTCGATAAGTTACTATATTCAAACATTATATTTTACTCTTATGTTTAATTCACTTTGTCTACTTAATAAGATATATAGTTCTGCATCATTCTAAAGGAATCAATTTTTAAGGAAAAATTTAAATTCTACATGATGTGTCAAATAAGCTAACAATCATCTTTGTGTCTTATTCTCTGATCTAAAAATGTCACAATCATAAATTGACTATTAATAGCAAAGATTAGTAATTTATAACTATCCATTATAGAATATCTGTCATATACGTGCCTTAGTAAAAAATTTACATACTGTTGCGTTGGTCGCATTAATCTACGAATGCTTAATTTAAAAATTAAATGTAAAAATTTTGTATCTTATAAATAAATAATATTTTATTGATAACACACTTCGAATAAATAGATTATATCAACAATAAAAATTATTCAGATTGTTACCTATTATATATTATCATATACATATATATAAATGTATGTATATATATATATATATATATATACATATATATAGAGCTCACTTTAAATCATAATCGTTTCTGAGAAATGTAAAAGAACTTGCATATATATCATACAGAGAGAATTAGTAATTCTCAGAAATATGATTCATATTATATGTTCATGTATATACATGTTCTTGAATGCGTCACATGCTTATTGAACGTAATTGAACATCAGTGATGATTATGATAATTTTACATTTTTTAAAGAAATAATGTGCAAATATATATAAGATATATAACAAATTTATCATCGTGCAAAAAAGAAAGAAATCAGTATGATTCAATTCGCGATTTACAGGAAAAAACAACAAGATATTCTATATTTCAATGTTATGTATCTCGCTGAATGTATATGTGACCTGTAATTGTGGGGTACGCTAAGAGTGGGGTACTAGCCACATAAAGTCCATCTGTCCAGTGGAACTTGTATTTATAGTGTAAACGCAGAGATCAGCAGCATCAGCCTCCATAGTGAGTAGTTTTAATTTTTTTTTTTCAGATACACATTACATTAGATACATTAACTCTATCTCTCGTACTTTATATAAATATTTCTACAATCATTGTAGATAATATGGCATTAAGTTTCCATTCATTTACTTTAAAAATCTTGTTTCGCACATATTCGAGAAAAGTCATCGCCTATCATATATGAAACAAGAAAAGAAGAGAAAATAATAATTAAAAATGAATATTTCTTTTTTACTTTCTCTACGAAATAAATCTTAGCCTTGCTTCTGTAAAACAGAGCTTCTTGCAAACAGAAAGATAAAGATTAATTAATTTACGTTGATGCGTATATGGAATGAAAATATTCTTAGCGGAGTGAAAGGTCGACTCTAATCGTACATTCATCGGTCATCATCGTGCGTTTATTATCGTATGGAATAAGAAGAACGAGAGACAAAGACAGCCACTAATAACATAGGAAATATAGAATGTAAATTTCGGAGGTCCTTGACGCTCCGTGATGTATATCCAAGGCGAGTGTAAATCATACTCTACTGGTTGTACCTGAAATCCGAGATTGTGGCACTTCACTCGACAAACACGAAATGCATACACAGATTGTGTTGCCCAGAAAGTTTTATTGAAAAATGCGTGACGTCACTACTTTCGTTAAAATTTTTTAGATAATTGCGTCGGAAACTACATTGGCTTTATATCGCTTATCATTCCATATACATATAGGCACTTACTATTAAATAGATATTCTTTCATGAAATTTTTTATTCTATATTGTTTCTATATTATTATTGTTGTTAAACAATAATAATATAATATAACGCTAGTTTGTTTGCAAAGCAAATATCAATAATTCGAAACGATTGAGAAACGAGTTAATAAGATATTAAAAAGTGAATCCTTTTTTTAAAACATGTTTAATAAGATAGCATATATAATAATGTTTAATAAAATAACAATATATAATTTACGTTTCGGCTCACAGGGTCTTCATCAGATAAATAATATAAAAATTAATTACATTCATAAATCTTACATCTAACCCTAAAGTAACAATAAGTAATTAGATAGAGTTTTCTTTCCGCATGTAATGTGTTATAGGAGATGTGGGCACATATCATGTTCAATAATAAAATATTTGGGATTCGTCAATAATAACAGACAATTTTAAATAATACCAGACAATTTTTAAGAAAATTTTAATTCGAATGCATTACCTCGCACTGCACTACATTTTTATAATATGACATCACAATTTACATTGGACTTAACCTAAGCAGAACAATAAGTCATTATGATATCAAAATGACATCAAAATGACTCCAAAATGATCATTAAAAGTTATTTTTCAATCATTTCCAATTCATTTTAATATTATTTATCGTGATTTATTTGTTTGCTTGAAAACTCACTGTAATTCTCGCTGTCAAACAATGAATTTGTTTGTTATGGAGCTTTGCATTGATGCTAATCACTTATATTTTATTATTATATGTGCCCGCATTTCTTATGACCACATTACATGCGAAAAGAAAACTCTATCTGATTACCGAGTTATTATTACTTTAGGATTAGATGGATAAGATTCATGAATGTAAGTTTAATTTTTATTATTTAATTGATGAAGATTCTATAAGCCAAAACATAAATTATACATTGCTATTTTCTTAAACATTATTATATATATTATTATTATTATTATATATATGTTATTATTATCTTATTAAATGTTTAAAAAAGAACTTATTTTATTTGCTCATCTTTCGATTTTGAATTATTGATATTATTATTATTGTTATTATTAAAGTAATTATAATAAATGATTAATGATCAAATTTTTTATCAAAGATTAGAAATGCATAAACAGTTATTTGACAATTTATATAAAATTTATGGAAAATGTCGTATGATCTTCTGAAAATTTGAATCACTTAATAATGTTATTCATCTTTTTTTATTCTTTCCAAAAGATGCAATCCTTGACATGGTGTCTATTATTGGCGGGATGCCTCGCTTTTGCTCAGGCTCATACATATCATATGGGTACTTGTCCTATTGTGGAACCCATGCAGGGTTTTCAGATGGGTAGAGTAAGTCGAAAAATTTATATTAAAGATTATTATTACGGAAACCAAAAATGTTTTTGTAATAATTTACCGAATACTTTTTCTTATTCTTATGATCAAATTAATTCATTTCAGAAATAATTTGTTTAAAATTTTAGTTCCTAGGTCTGTGGTATGTTATCCAAAAAACATCAACAGGAAGCAAGTGCATTACTTACAATTACACACGAGGAGAGGAACCGGGCGAATACGTTATAACGCAGGACTCAGATCATCTAATCTTAGGTAAGGCAATTAAAAAACACTAAGAGCAATTGATAAAGAAAGGAGATGTGATATGTAAACCTCTACGAAGCGCTGCATCGAGTATCATAAAAGAACCTCAATGGAATAAATGTCTAACAAATGGGATGAATTATCAGTAATTGTGAGATACATATGTACAGGTCTTACTCCATTGAAGCACGAGTATCATTATACTGGCCAATTGACTGTACCTGAACCAAGTACTCCGGGACGTATGGAAGTCCGTTTTCCTCTTAGTAAGTGTCTTAACATATACAACATCATAATAATATAAGTTAAAAGCGGAAGAGATGTAATTTTATTTTACAGAAATAAAAGAATACGATAAATAAAAAATTTGTATGTTGCGTAATGAAATTTAATTAAGTTAAACATCGTCTGCAAAATGTAAATTCAAATATATAGTTACAGCCTCCTCTTTAATTTACAAATGATAAGATATTAGGCAAATTGAAGATAAATTGTCACATATACTAATCTCGCGATAAACAATGCGTTCTCTCTTAATAATTTTCATACAAATTGCAAGTTAAGCAATGCATTACGTTGTGCAACTAAAATTCGTATCTGTGATTTAGGTGTAGCCGGAAGTGCGTCCCATGTGATATTCATGACGGATTATGATACTTACGCTGGCATATTTACATGTCAGAAGCTGGCGTTCGCTCATCGACAGAGTGCGACGATCCTCTCGAGGACCAGGACGTTGGATCAGATACAGGTTGACAAAATACGTCAGCGATTAGGTCAATACGGCGTCGATCCATTCGATTTGAGCATCATTTCACAGTCTGGCTGTCCGCAAGGCAATAATACTCTAGACATCAATGTTGACCCTAACACTTTCACTTCTGAGAATTTGGGTAATGTAGTGCGCAAAGCGGGCGAGAAGATCGGCGATGGCGTCCAGTGGATCGCTCAGACCGGAAGCAAGGTATATCACAAGATAGCCGGTACAGAAGATACAGCTCAAACAGCATCGACGACAGAGCAGAACAGTCGCGTTACATCAAGGAACAGTGGTGAAAGATTGGAGACGAACGAAGTGGAATGGATTCCCTAAAAATTCAATCGAATATTTTTTCACATCATCACTTTTTTGTTATTCGCGATCTCGATTCGCGAATTTTGATATCTATTTGATAGTTCTATTAAGATCCTTCCTTCTAATATTGTATGTTCGACCTTCTGTTCATTTTATTTGATAACAAATGACGAATCGTATAACGAATATAAATAAAATTACGGTGAAAATAAAAGAAATTAGCGTTGATTGGTCGATTGATCTATATTATCATGGATGATTAAAGATCTGA